TTTTGAGTTTTTTTTTAATTTTCTTGTGAACATACACAAAAATAATGTTAAATTTTAGAATTTTTTAATTTTTCTTGCCAAAATATGTATTAACACACACAACAAAAATTTATATTTTTGATTTTTTTAAAATTTATCTTGTCAAGATGTTTGTATTAACACACACACAAAAAAATGTTCAATTTCTGAGTTTTTAAATTTTTTTGTCAAGATATGTGTATTAACACATACAAAAAATGTTAAATATGCTAATTTTTTATTTTTTCTTGCCAAGATGTGTGTATTAACACACACAAAAATGTTATATTTTTCGAGTTTTTATATTCGTTTTTGCCAAGATGTATGTATTAACACACACTCAAGAAACTATTAAATTTTTGAGTTTTTAATTTATTTTTCTAGTCAAGATACGTGTATTAACAAACACAAAAAATGTTAAATTTTTAATTTTTTTTATTTTCTTGCCAAGGTGTGTGTATTAACACACAAACATAAAAAATGTTAAATTTACGATTTTTTTTATTTTCTTGCTAAAATGTATGTATTAACACACATACACAAGAAAATGTTAATTTTTTGAGTTTTTATTTTATTTTTCTAGTCAAGATACATGTATTAACACACACAAAAAAATGTTAAATTTTCTAGTTTTTTTTATTTTTTGCCGAGATGTGTGTACACACAAAAAATGTTAAATTTGCGAATTTTTTTCTTGCCAAAATGTGTGTATTAACACACGCATAAGAAAATGTTATATTTTCGATGTTTTTTTTTTCATATTCTTGTCAAGATATGTGTATTAACACACACACAAAAAATATTATATTTTATAGTTCTTTTATTTTCTTTTCAAGATGTTTGTATTAAGACACACACAAGAAAATGTTAAATTTTCGTGTTTTTTTTTGTGAATTTTTCCTTCCTAAGTTTGCGGAACTATTTTTTTAATTTTCTTGTCAAGATGAGTATATTAAAAACACACAAGAAAATATTAAATTTTCGACTATTTAAGTTTTTTGTCAATATATGTGTATTCACAAACAAAAAAATGTTAAAATTACGTGTTTTTAAATTTTTCTTGCCGTGATGTGTATATACACACAACAAAATCTTATATTTTTGAGTTCATTTATAATTTTCTTGCCAAAATCTTAAATGTTTGAGTTTTTATTCTATTTTTCTAGTCAAGATACTAGTATTAACACACACACACAAAATGTTAAATTTTTTAGGTTTTTTATTTTTTTACCAAGATGTGTGTATTAACAAACACTAAAAATGTTAAATTTGCAAATTTTAAAGTTTTTTTGCCAAAATGTGTGTATTAACACACACACATAAGAAAATGTTATATTTTTGAAGTTTTTTTAATCTTCTTGTCAAGATATGTGTATTAACACACACATAAAAAATATTAAATTTTAAAATTTGTTTATTTTCTTGCCTAGATGTGTGTATTAACACACACAAGAAAATGTTATATTTTGTGGTTTTTAATCTTTTTGTCAAGATATATGTATTAACATACACACACAAAAATATTAAATTTTGAAGTTTTTTTATTTTTTTGCCAAGATGTGTTTATGTTAATATACACAAGAAAATGTTAAATTTTTGAGTTTTTTTTAATTTACTTGTCAAGAAATTTATATTAACACACACAAAAAAATATTAAATTTTTGAGTTTTTTTTTTATTTTTTTGTCAGTATGCATGTATTAAAACACACGCAAAAAATATTAAATTTTCGGGTTTTTTTGATAATTTTCTTGTCAAGATATGTTTATTAACACACACAAAATATGTTATGAATTTTTTAATCTTTCTTGCCATGACGTGTGTATTAATACACACAAGAAAATGTTATACTTTTGATTTTTTTAAAAAAGATTTTGGTCAAGATGTTTGTATTAACACACATAAAAAAGAAAATGTTCAATTTCTGAGTTTTTAAAATTTTCTGTAAAAATATATGTATTAACACACACAAAAATGTTAAATTTGCTAATTTTTTATTTTTACTTGCCAAGATGTGTGTATTAACACACACAAAAAATGTTATATTTTCGAATTTTTTTAAATCTTCTTGTCAAGATATGCATATTAACATACATACAAAAAAAAATACTAAATTTTATAGTTTTTTTTATTTTCTTTCAAAGATGTGAATATTAAGACACACACAAGAAAATGTTAAATTTTCGTGTTTCTTTCTGTGAATTTTTTCTTCCTAAGTTTGCAGGACTAATTTTTTATTTTCTTGTCAAGATGTGTGTAATAACAAACACACATGAAAATGTTAAATTTTCGAATATTTAATTTTTTTGTCAATATATGTGTACCTGCGCTTCGCTGCAGGATATTTTTTCTAAGTTTTGTATATATTTTTAATATTATAAAATTATTTTTATAATATAATTATAAAATTATTTTTATAATATAAATGAGTATTGTATTTATTTTTTTATCAGCTAAAGTTATGTATTTATATGTTTTAAATCTGATAAATATTGTATATTTTTTATTTTTGAAAATTATAATTTGCTATTAAATTTGTTTAGCTAACTAATTATCAATGTATATGTAAGAATAAAATAATATATTTTTAGTACATTTATGCTACTGGTAAATATAATCTATTTTCTCTAATTAATTGCTTGATCCTCCTTTGTAATTATATAAAGCAAAGTGCTATTTTAAAAAAAGATTTATTAATTAATATGATTATCATGAATTATAAAATTTATTTATTTAACAAATATTTATTATAAACATATATTTCTAAAACTACCGAACTATAATAAAAAACAGCCATATCAAAATCATTGCTATTGCTTTAGAACTAAATAGAAAATTATGTTTGAACTCTTGAAATAAAGTTTTAGTTAAAGTTAAATAATTAAATTTTGGTAATTGTAACCTACTTTAATTTGGAAATTTAGCATAGAGAAATTTCATCTTCTTACAAAAACCGAGAAATCGCATTTATCGTCAAAACCAAAAAAATTCATTTTCTCATGAAACTGAGAAATCGCCTATTCCCGCCAAAACCAAAAAAAAATTATTTTCTTGTCAAACTTAAAACCTAAAATTTTATTTTTCCGCAAGAACTTGTGTTATCCACCAAAACCGAAAATCACGTTTTTTACTAAAACCAAAAAAATTTATCTTCTTGCAAAAACAAAAAAAAATCATATTTTCCCGTCAAAACCAAAAAAATTATTTTCTTGCAAAAACCGAGAAATCGTCAATTCCCGCCAAAACTAAAAAATTCATTTTTCTCGTCAAACCAAGAATCACGCTTTCCTACCAAAACAGATAAATTATAATTTCCCGCAAAAACCAAAATTGCATTATCTCCCGAGAAATTGTGTTTTTCTGCGAAAACTAAGAAATTGTATTTTCCCGTGAAAGCAAAAAAATCACATTATTCGTCAAAAACTGAAAACTTGCATTTTTCATCTAAACCGAGAAATTGCTTATTCCCGCCAAAACCTAGAAATTTTGTTTTCCCATCAAACCGAGAAATTGCATTTTCTGCCAAAATTATTAAATTGCAATTTCCCGTGAAAACTAATAAATCACATTTTTGCGTGAAAACCAATAAATCGGTCAAAAGTCAAAAATTTGTATTTCCTATCAAAACTGAGAAATCGCATTTTTCGTCAAAATTGAAAAGTTGGATCTCGCATCAAAACAGAAAATCGCATTTTCCCGTCAAAACTAAGATATTTTGTTTTTCCGTCAAAATCAATTTTTTTTTGTTTTCTCACCAAAACCAATAATTCACATTTTCCCGCCAAACCTGAGAATTTGATTTTTCCGTCATAACCGAGAAATTATGATTCAAAACTGAAAATCACATTTTCCTACCGAAATCAAGAAATCCCCTACTTCCAGCAAAATAGAGAAATTTTTTATTCCTGCCAAAGCCAAAAAAATTTGTTTTCTCGTCGAAGCATGGTTGATGTTGAGCCTACACTTTTTTCAATCATATACGTTTTTGTCAAATAAACAGATAGCTAGAAATTTTTTATTATAATTTATTTGTTGTTATTTATTATTTAGGTTTGGGTTTGGCAAAAAAAATTTTTTTAATTGTTATTATTTATTATTTGGGCTTGAGTTTGGTAAAAAATAAAATAATTTTTTTTTTATTTGCTGTTATTAATTATTTGGGTTTGTGTTTGGTAAAAAATAAAATAAAGATTAATAGAAAAAATATTTAGGTTTTTAAAGGGTTTAAGTTTAAAATATAAAAATGAATAGATGAATTGTATTAATAAAATATTTTGATTGATGATTATTTTTGCTGAGGTGTCATGTTTATAAAGCTTCAAAAAGCTGATGTGTCAAGCTATGGAGAGACATAAGTGTTATTGTTGTGTTGATTTGATTTTATATAAAAGAAAAAAAGTATGCTATCATACGTAAAAATGTAGAGTATTTTTAGGTTTTGAGGAAGAAAAGATATTGGACTATATCTGGGATAAATTCTTATCAAGGTTGGACCAAACATATCAATTACATCATTTATGTTATGTATTCGACGTTTAACCGCAAACTTGTCCACGATATCACTGAAAATGAAAATAAATGTAGTGATTAATTAGTATGTAGACTGTCATCTGTTGTATGGACCCAAAAGGTATAAATAATCGAATCATTCCATTGCAATCTTTTCTAATCATGCCATGTGGTAGTTGGCAAAAATGATTAACCACAATAATATATATTATTTTTTTTGTTGAATTTCGTTATACACTCAAATTATTGTGGCTGTACTATGACACTGTCGATATAAACGATTTTTTTGCCTTATACAAAGCACAAAATCTCTTCGGCGAAAACGTTTGGAATCACACAGTTATGATGTGGTGAGGTTTTGTCTGATAATGTCTTTTTCTCAGTCAACTGTCTGAAGATGATGTCATTGTCAACAACCTTACAAAAGTCCAAAATCTATAGCCATCCAATTAGAAAATTATCAAATCCTGTTATGTTTTCTTGTGTACTAGTTTCATTGAACATGTGAACCAAATGTACTTCGGTTTTTTTGTTTGTTTGTTTCGCAAGCATCCAAAGATGCAATAATACAACGTTTGATACCAAAAAAAAAAACAAAGAAAATGCTTAACACTTTAACACAAATCAAGTTTGATAACCTCTATTTCTGAAGATGGTCAACTAATCTATTGACCATGAACAGAATAACACATGACTTGTACTACAAGAAACCTTCCCAACACAACAATCTGTTTCATTATTTATCCTTGCAATGATGATGTTTGGACAACCGAAATTGGCCAAATAAATCAAAAGGAAAAACTCTTTTAAAAATTAAAAAAAAAAAACTCGTGTTTCAAATACTGTTTAAGCAAATTGAGGATTTACTGACTGCTGCAGAATCCCAAGAATCCCATGAACTCATGGTTATGTATCATCCTTATGCTCTTCTCTATTCCAATCACTCCCATTGTGAGAGCACTTGCACAGATGACTCCTGAGAGAACGAAAACGATGATCGAAGCTCTTTTCAGGATCGCCACAAGCTTCCTTATGAAGGATTGTCCCCAGAAACCGGCAAGAATCGATACAAACATCAAGTACAATGCTGCCAATAAAACAAAGATCCATCATCAGTTTTTCATTTTTTTTTTGTAAATATTTCTCATGTTGTGTCTGTTTTCAAGAACTTACCGTATGGTATTGGGAATCTCCCGAGGAGATAAAACTCAACTACGGATAAGGACGAAGAAAACATCATCACAAACGTAGCTGTCGCGCTAGCAACCTGACAATTGAGAAGAAACAAAAGAAGATTGAAGAAACAAGATGATTGATTTTGGTTTGTAAATCATCTATTGATTGGAATGTGAAGTGTACCTGTGGGATGACTCCAATCTCAAGAAGCAAAGGGCCGAGAACAAATCCACCACCGGATCCAAGTAAACCACCTACGATGCCTCCAATGAGTCCACAGAGCGCACAGAAGATAAGACTCAGAGGAGTCCACTCGATCGTAGCCTCACAGATTGATTCAGTGTTTCCATTGATTAGCCTCTTTTTGTTCTCCCTGATTAGTCTCACCGCTTCGAATCCAAACACGGCCAAAGCAACTGGGAACTGCAAATGGATAATGATCCCAAAATGAAGATTTTAGCCAAATGCTGAAGAGAAAAGATATTAGGTTGTGACATAGATATGCTACCTGTACGATGAAAAGCACCCAATATATTGTGCTGCAGACTTTGATTTCGTTCTGTATAAACCCGAGAGTTAGATTAATGAGAACTCAACATCAAGACAGAAGAAGATGAAGACTTGCCTTGACAATTTGGATGAGCAAGAAAGCGAACCAAACAGTCACCAGAACCAGAAGCCGTTTCAACTTGAGGTTGGACCTTATTATTTCCTGTAAGTAAACAACGAAACCCGGTTCTTGAATCTTTATCCAAGTCTTGAAGAGCCAATAAGTTAATATCAACTAACTTTCATACTTACCAGTTCTGATTTCTCTTCCCTAGGATAAAGCGGCTCATACACCGTGTCGATTAACACTGCACACAGAATCAAGAAGTTTAAAAAATCGAAACACAAGAACAAAAGTAATCACAAGTGTGAAGCTTATACTCACGTTCTCCTCGTGAATTAACCGTGGAACCTTGATGCTGCTTCTCCAATTCGTTCTGTTTTTTGAAAAAAAACAACATATAAACATTAAGTATCTATCCCCACATGAGAACCACAACATCAACATGCAAAACTAACCTTCAACAAAGTCTCCTCTTTCCACATCTCAATGCCTTTGAAAAAAGATCTCGAAGAAGTACCGACGAAGAGGATGATGATGAGGACAGTGATGAGCCAGTAAGGGAAAACAACACTGAGAGAAACACCAACGGTGATGCCGAGGAGAAGCATTGGTTGAAACAGGAGAGCAAGGTCATAGTCTAAGATTGGTACTTCTTTTGTCGGATGACGAACTCTTACATTGTACCAAACCGATGACGCAGATGCTCCCATTATCATACCTATCAACCAAAAAAAAAAAAAAAAAACAACGTCAAAATCAAACACATTTTAGCAAATTCACAAACCCATCAACAAAAATTTCTCTCTTTTACATTTTGAGATTGCAGCTGCAGATTTTGTGTCGAATCCGAGGATGAGAGTGAGCATAGGAACAAAAATCCCACCGCCTCCAACGCCACCAACCGTCCCACACGCAGATCCCAGAAACGCTATTAAGGTAGCCGCCACAAGTTTCCAGCTAAACTTCAAATCCTAATTTTCATAATTTTAACACACAAAAAGGGAAAGAAAAAAAAAAGAGAGAGAGTCAAAATTCCACTTTTTAAAGATTCTTCCAAGGTTTCAGGTAAAAAAGGTTTCTCTTTTAATGAATGTGTAAACGTAAGGAAACTGAATCATAAAGTTTATTCAAACGGATTAACTATTTTTTTCTAGTCAAAATAATATTTTAATGATTACAAAATCCACGACTATTGAAAACGATTCAAGTTAATGACGATGGAATGAATATTCAGATGACGTCGACCAGAAAGGAAGAATCTATATAATTACCGGCCAAACTTTCTTGGTAACGGAGAGATGATGAAGAGTAGGGTTTGTTTCTCCGACGTAAGAAACGGAGAAGATGGCGACGGAGAAACCCACGAGAAGGTAGAGGAGAAATCCTCCGGTGCCTCTTCCAATCCATAATCCCATCTTCTAAAATATTAATAAACCCTAAATAATCGTAGCTTATTGTCTTAAAACGCCGATAAAGAACGAATATTTTGAAAAATAAAAAAATCTAATTTTTGGTTGTTTTCTCTGGCGGTGAAGCAGAGAGAAACCGAAATATAAAAGCAGAGTCAGAGAGGTGAAGACGGGAGGAGAGAGAGAGAGTTTATCATCAACTATACTCTTGCGTATATTATTACGATACTACCTTCTGTATAAGGTTTACACGTGGCGGGATTTTTTAAAAAATTGATTCTTATATTTTTAGAAATTTGAGGCTGTAATCTCGCCTTGTTCTTCTAATCCATAAATATAGGTAAACAATTAAAAAAAAACAATTTTAAGAAATAATAAAATTGTCTGAGTAAAAAGATCGACTCTTTATCAAAATAAAAGAAAAATGTTTTTTTTTACCCAAATACTTTTTTCCTCCAACCTAAGAATCCTCAGATATATAGGATGGTTTATCTCAAAATCAGTCGAAATACAAAATAAGACAAAAACTAAATTTCTAGATTTTTATATTAACTTTTTATAGTACACTAATTTTTTCTCACTAACGATGACAAAACAGCTTTTTTTGTTAAAGGATGACAAAAACAGCTATGTACTCCAACAACAACAAAAACTCTTTTGAGTTTGATGTTGTCATTAAAAGTATATGTTTACAAAAATTTAAAGGGATTATACATTCTTTTTTTAATCCATAAATATATGTAAATAATTCTCTTTCATGGAATAAATAAAAAAAAGGCTCCAGCAAATGCCGTTTAAATTTACTGAAATTACAACCGAGACTTTGATAGAGTGGTCAACCAAAAATTAGATTTTGTTAAATTGTTTTCTACATTTGCAAAACCATCTTTGTGTAGAATAAGAATGAAATCTAGAAAATAGCTGAAACTAATGAACAAAATATAAAAAATAATATTAATCTTACTGGCGTATATATAGTTCCCTTATTCAAGTTTTATTTTGAGATCGTCCAACGATTTGATGTCAATTGAGTACAATTTGAATTAGATGTCAGAATAAAATAGCAATCAATAAGGTAGTGAATTAGCGATTTTATTCACGTGTTTATTTTGTGATTTTCTAACACGATTTAATGTCAAATGAGTAAAAATTGATGACATATTGAAATAGCAATAAGGGATCCACAAAAGAACATGCAAGAGTATATAGAACGTGGACAGCTAAAATTAAAAGTTGCAAAATCCACGAATGGGGATTGAAAAGAAACAAACAAGTCCGATATCAGCGATTTGACGAAACTGATCCACAAGAACATGCAAGAGGCTAATCGGAACCCATGTGGTGGTGCCCATCTTCAGCCTTGAGGAACAGGATAATTGTTTCCCATGTTTTCAATATGTCTTATTATGTCATATAACACCAATTTAGATAGTAACTAATCGGAGCCACACAAAAAAAAAACTCATGACGCCGATATCAAATCACACATAATTACGTTAGTCGTACTTTTGGGGCTTTCCAGAAATACAATGCATCGGCTACCTTTAAAATAAATAGATATAACATAATTACATATTATAGAGTTATAAAGTTTCTTTAAAATAAATAGATATAGCATAGTTACATATTATAGATTGATTTTAAGAATTGAGAGATTTATTAAATTTGTTAAAAATTTTGTTAAATTTATAAAAAAAATATTTATTTAGAAAATCTAAGCTATAGCTATGTAATATTTTGAAATTTTTTCAAAATGTTGTTCTATACGTTAAATTGCCTTAAAATACCTATAAACTATAAAGAATGAAATTTTTCGAAAAATCAAAAGTCTGAATTTTGGTGGTTTTCTCTGGCGGTAATGCAGAGAGAAACCTATTATAAAGCAAACCATTCCATTAGCAACTAAAAACAAAATCTCGAGTCCGTTGACAGTTGATTAACATAGCAAAGCATAGTCTTTAAAAGTCACTACGAACATTCGCTCCTATAAACCGAGTGAGAAAGTTAAAACTAGTCTTTTAAAAGTAAAAGTATGCATAAGAATACAACGCAAAGAAATTATCAGAAAACATTTGTTACAACTGATCAAATCCAAAACGGACCAACAAAACACGCTTTCGTTTTCTAAAGCCTAGCCCAGGCCCAATACGCGCCGGTCTCTCATAGCTACCCTTATCCCATGCCTCATCAATCAACATCCATCCGTCCAACATCGTTGAATGTTTGACCGGTCATTTCTGATCCGACGCCTTCAAAGATGTCGCCACTTTACCCGGCTTTGAGTCTTCGACTTTGACTTCGACCACCGTCCTTCCCGTGCCTCCATGTTCACGCGCCGCCCGTGTTTCCTCCACAATGTCCGATGGCATTGTAAGTTTGCTCTTTATAGCCTCCGTCACATTCCCTAATGCACCAAGTATGGTCCCCTTCGCTTCGTTTCCCCTACGTTTATTGTTTGGGACATCAAAAACAAATATTAATTAAAACCGTTAATGATCCATCAACATTATTAAAAAAAAAACATGACAAGATTTAACAAAATGGCGTTTCTTTATTTACCTAACCGCAGCAGAATCTTTTGTTTCCTGGGCTTTTTCAGCTGCTGAATCAGTACTCTCCTTAGTCTTTTGAGATGCCTCGCGTGCTTTTTCTCCAGCTTCGTCTTTGAGTTCTTTACCCTCCAATCTCATCTCCTCCATTTTGCGTCTCGTTTCTTCTCCAGCTTCTTCCATTTTTTCCTATATATATATTTCCAACCAACAAAATACACACATGCATCAACCATTTCACATCACAACCCGCATTAACATATCAGCAAGAAAGAACACAGGGTTCCATAAAAAAAAAACTACCTTGGCACTATCTTTGGTCTCCACAGCTTTTTGTTTGGTTTCCTCTGTCTTCCCCGACAAGAAACCCATAGCTCTCTTCGCCGTATCAATAGCACTATCCTTCAACTCTCCAAGCTTACTAACTCCAACATCTTTACCTTCAGTCGCTTTCTCCACCGTGTAGTCCTTATACTCCCCGGTCTTCCCCACCGTCTTATCCTTCGCTTCAATAGCTTTATCCGCCGTGTAATCCTTAGCTTCTACGGCCTTGTCCGCGGTGTAGTCCTTGTACTCACCCACCTTCTGTGCCGTTTTATCCTTAGCCTCCTTGACCTTATCTGCCGTATAATTAGCCGTCTCCTTTGCCTTCTCCGCTGTCTTATCCTTGGCTTCTACCGCCTTATCCGCGGTATAATCTGACATCTCCTTCGCCTTCTCCGAAGTCTTGTCCTTCGCCTCTTTAGCTTTATCAACCGTATAGTCTTTATACTCGCCCATCTTCTCCGCCGTGTAATCTGCGGTGTCCTTTGCCTTCTCAACCGTTGCGTCTTTTGTTTCAGCTGCTTTCCCTGAGGCTATCTCAGCTCCTTGTCTCGTCGATTCAGCAGCATCGTGACTTTTTCCGACAACAGCATCTCTGGCATGTTCGTATGTTCCTTGCACAGCCCTGAACACCGATCCTATCACACCGGGCCTCTCCTGCTCCGGCGGATGTTCAATTGTTCTCTCTGTCACCTTATACATCGTGACGTCACCACCACCGTCTTTGTTAATGTCATGCAAGTCTTCAGCCGCTAGCCTTGCCGCGGCCTCGGCTCTCTCTGCTATTTGTTGCTTCTCCGACGCCATTGCTCTTGTCGATACTTGATAAATAGTGAAACTGAGTGTATAGATTTGTGAAAAACTACTTCGTGATTTTTGAAAATCTTTTTTTACTTGTGTTACTGGTTGAGGTGCTTTTGTTGCTTCTTATAGTAAATGCTTTGTTTCTGTGGAGAAGCCACGTGTTATATAGGCGGGCGTAATAGCTGCCACGTATAATTATCATTTTCCTTTTTCTCTTCTTGCCTTCCAAGTAGCCTTTCGTGCGACACGTATCTTCAATGGATCGTTTTATCTTCTATGGATATGTACCATGACCACGTGGACTTTTCATGCATGGATCTTGAGTGATCATGGCCTAACTTAAGACATAAGCAAGAAGCTTTGATGGTCGGTTGTATCAAATCGATGAATATCATGATTTTGAGATGCTCGAGGAATTTACATACTATTATAGCTGAAATGAATGCGTTATGTAAAATGATGAACTAATGTGTCCTCTTATTTCATTTTGTCACAATTCGATAGCACATGTGTTGATCTCGAAGATATATGTTTCGTGATCGCTACATTCTAGAAGTCGGTATAAAATATTTCTTTGTTTCAATGTGTACTGTTGTTCTAATTTGCGCCAACAAATTGAGATGATCTTGAGGAAATAAAAATAAAAATAAATTAAAGCGTAAAACTGTTGAGTGACGAATATTAAAAGCCAACAACACTAACAATATTTGTTATACAAATTAACATTCTCGTAAATTTGCAAAAAAAAAAGGCGATCCATATTCTCGAACAATCGTTTAGCTAATAAAATGCTTTTCAACCCATGGGTTTTATTTGAATTTTTTTTTTTTTTTGCATTCAATGATTTAGTTCGAAAGACTGGCCGGGGGCATAAATTGTTAATAACTGTGGGGACATTATTAAATTTCTCAAACTTTACTTGAAACTTTACTTTAATCAAACAGACGGTGCATCCTCGCCCATGCCTAAATTAATCATCTAAATTAATCACGTTAATATTTTATGTCAACAAAATCAACCATGTTAATTGTGTTCTCACAAAGAATCATTTTAAATTCAATTATGTATGTCATTATTTTTATATTTTTCTCCGACAACACTGACGCGTATTTGATGCCATCCAATTCGGTCACGTTTCCCGGATAGTATTATACGCTATTACGAAGAGTTGCGTACCAATTTCATCAGCTTTTATTATTACTGATGATCTATATGGTTCTTGAATTCATCTTTTCATCCCCAACTAATATTTGAATCCATGTGACATATAGACGATTAAATAGTTGTAGAATCAGTTTGAATGCTGAATAATAAAATAAACCCATAATACTTCTAGCAGTTTTCTGGTTGAAAAGTTTTTCCATTGATCATGATTATACGTGATATGGATGCTTTGAAATCAATAATTTCCAACTAATAAAATATTTAGACCCAAAAATTTAAAATAATATCCAACTATGTAAGGTATTTACTAACTTTCACTACATTCCTGTTCAAAACTGCAACGGTTGGTATTAATCATTGTAAGGTTACATTAATCATTGTAAGTGTAACCATGTTTTCTTTACGAAGTTCCAGATTTAATTAGGCTATATCTTATTTTCTATCTGCCTCTTAACTAAATATAAAATAAATAGATATACGATAGCATAATTACATGTTACATGTAGACTAAAAGCTTTAAATATATATAATAAAAAAATCCGTTAAATATATTACGTAAACTCTGAATTACTCGAATTAAAATTTAGTTTGAGACTGGAATCAAATTTTTATATATGGGTTTCAATGGATTAATCATAAGCATATGGAAATCCTAGGAACCTAGCATGCATAACATGTAGGCACGTTCACCGTACGTACGTAGTTACGCACGTATGAGTACACACGTGTGTCGTGTAAGTGGAGAATCCGATGCCCAAACGAGTAAGCAAGCTAAAGCAATAATGGTCAAAAAGCAATCGATCTCAATTAATTTTTTAAAACCCAATTTAAAAAGGCACACACTAAGGGAAAAGAATAATCTTACACGACATGTCTCCTCGATAACAAAAAAGGGGCTTATTAGAATTATTTTTAAAAGACCGTGATTCGCATAAACCATATAAATCTGTTCAGTGCCTCACAAGATCGATCAATCAATCAGTTCTCTAATCTGAGTGTCGATCATATAATCAAAACGAGGAAAATATTCTTAGTCAGAAAAATTGAAAGTGTAACAGAAGAGATTAATGGATGGTTCAGGTCCAAGAGAAGGAGGAGCAGCTATGAAGCCAGTGATTCTGAGAGTTGGTGTCGCTCTCGTACTATCAGCAACTGGTTTGATCTTGGCCAGGTTCGTGTCTCGGAAAGACGATAACGAGGTAACTTCTTCTGCAAGCAATCCAGAGCCTCCTTCATCACCTAGCAGAAGAAACGATGGAGAAGAAGAAACAGAGAGCCTAGAAGATCATCAGAAGCTAGAGATTCTCAGATTAAAATCCAGATTCGAGGAGCTTCAGAGGAAGGAATACGAGATGGAGTTGCGTTTCGAACGTTATTGTAACTTGAAAGATCAAGAAGTCATGCTTATGGAGCATAAAAGTATGTTGGCCCTTGAGAAATCTCAATTAGATTTCTTCCGTAGAGAAGTTTCCGCGATGGAGGAAGAACAAAAGAGGGGTCAAGATTTGGTGATTGTGTATCTCAAACTGGTGGGAGAAATCCAAGGGCTGAGATCAGAGAATTGGTTGCTTGAGGGGAAAGCAAAAAAGCTCAGAAGAAGAGGAAAGCAGTTATACCGCGTTGTAAACGAGAAGAACACGAGGATCATTGGCGTGGAAAAAGAGCTCTTGAAGTGTCTTGATGAATTGGAGATGAAGAATAACGTTGTGAAGGAACTTGAAGGTGAAGTTAACGTCCTAAAAGCTAAGGTCGATGTGTTGCAAGAGGAAAAGGAAGAAATATCCGGGAAGTCTTCAGAATATTCAAAATCAGAGGTAAAGTTTTGATTATTCGGATCCAAATTCAATGATTCTACTCATTTTATGTTGATTGGAACGTTTTTGCTTTTGTGAAGATGGTGAGTGTAGAAGATTATAGAAGGGTATTAGAAGAGTATGAAGATATGAAGAAGGATTTTGCTAATGGAGTGAAGGAAGTGATTAACCTGAGATGGAGCAATGCTTGTTTGAGGCACGAGGTGATGAGAAATGGAACCAATTATGGGGAAGTAGCTTTTTCTCCAAACCGAAACTTGCAAGAGCTGGAAATTGAGGATCAAGCGGATGCTCTTGCATTGACAGTAGCTGATGAGCATCATGAAGAGAATAACTATCATGATCATGATCCTCATCATCATGAATCTTCAAGGAGGAAGAGGTTGATGAAGAAGCTGAAGAGATGGGTTGAAGGAAATGAGAAGGGAAAATCAACAAAGTCAGAGGAAAAATGTTTCGGAAGGCACTCTTTGACGGTGGAACCTGAGGAAGAACGGATGTTTCATTCAAGAAGATCTTGTTCTAGCGTATAAAATGTAACATCGTGCTTTACAAGAGCAGCAGTCAATGTTCTAAGAATTCTCTAAAATTAACATAGTCATGAAAAAGGCAAAAAGAAAAGAAGAACTAAAATGAAATTGGGTAAGCAACGATTAATTATGATCGATGACATCAAAAGATCAAATCAAATTGGGATATATAGTCCATGTCAAAGAACTAACAAGGAATTAAAATCACATGTGTACATATAGTTGTATACCACAAATGTAGACATAGTTGGCAAGAAAGAAGAAAACAACTTTATCTGAAAGCAAACAATCGACGAGTAAAATCAACAAAATGTATTATACTAACTCGTATGAATGACGTTTAAGAGTTCACATCCAAAAGTTCTTAATTGCATAAACTGATAAACTACAAAACCGTATAAATAGTTTTTTGGTACGCTAATAATATTTCAAATCAAGAAATAATAGGAAAACTTTGAAATATGTTGCGTTACAATTTGGGATCTTCTGATCCAACTGTAAAGGACGTCGTTGGGCATTTTTAGCTTTCGACGACGAAATGACGAAATGTCAACAGTCCAAAGCATAAAAACATCGGTGTTGTTGGAGCAGTTTCAATCGGGCTCTTAACATAGGGTTTTTACAAAAAAAAACTAAAGAAATAATTTAAAACCAAATAAAATATTAAGAGAGTTTTTAGAATTGGTAAAAATTACATATGTGTCCCATTTTTATTAGTTAATTTCTTTTCGATAAAAGAAAAAAAATATTCTCTCCATTTCTCTCTCTTCCTTGACAAAAAGAATTTTTTTATTCTTAAAAACCTCAAGTGAAATTCTATCATTGAAATCATACAATTTTAATTACTTTTAAAAAAGTTTTCAACTTAAAAAATTTTAAAATTTATAATTAAAATAATATTTAGAACCTATGAGGGGTTTTTAGCATTGGAGGTGGTTTTAATTTTTAGGAGTCTCTAAAAAAATAAAAAAAAATAAGATATAGGTTACTTTCAAAAGATCCATCTATTATTATATTGTTAAAAACTATCTATATTTAATAATATTATTATTTTATATTTTTGTAGAAACTATTTTAGAAATCTGTAATGCAAATGTTTTTACATGAATAAACTAAAAAAAATATATAATATTATTTTTCAGTGATTATCGATAACAGAGGTATTTCAGATGATGTTAAAAAGAAAAAAAAAACAACTAAAGAAAATTAAGAAATATTCTTTTTGGATAAGTTAGACAAAATTAGTAAAAATTATAAAAATGAAGAAAAATTGGAATAAAATCAATGTAAAATTTTTATTTGAAAGAACGAACATAAAATTAAAATATTATATATATATTAGTATATATATGTATATACATATATATATACTAATATACCAAAAATTAATTTTGACATAGTTTGCAAGCCAAAAAAACATATAAATTTATCTGAAAGCAAATAGTCAACAAGATAAATGAGTTTATCTTTTATGTAAATTTCTCAATAGATTATGACCAAAATGAGTTGAAACTAAAAAGCATCATGATCAAAGCTATGCAAAACACCAACTCATATGAATGACGTTTAAAGACTTACGAGTCCAAGTCCAAAGTTCTTAAATACATAAACTACAAACAATATAAGCATATTGACGACTGTTGCAAGTTGTAACACTAATACAAAATTTGGTCAAAAAAAAAAAAGTTGCAACACTAATAATCAAAAATAGATATATTTCATATGAAGTTATAAAGTAAAAGTAAAATTTTAGTGTATCTTTTTCTTTAGCTAAACGGATTAATCTTTGTAATAAGAGAAATGATGTACCAATGTATTAGGAACCTTATTATTTCTCTCCCACATTTTTTCTTAGTGATCATCTCTTAGGTTGAACCCAAAGAAAAGAAAGATCATCTCTTTCTTTAAAACCATGTCTCTGATGCTCTTATTCTTCTTTTTGTCCATCATTTCTCCTACTGAATCGGTGGAGAAAAACCATTCTCACCATCTTAATTGTGATCAAATGTCAAAAATTCAAAGCAGCGGATACTTGGTCTTCAAGGTGTCACTAAAAGGCTGTGGGAAATTCACTTCTATTCAAGAGGCGATATATGCAATTCCAATTTCACACATAACCAAAAAGCTCATCATTGTAGACTCTAGTATTTACAGGTTAGTTTTTTTAACTCACTCAATCATCGATGGTTTTCTAACAATGTTAATCTGCTTTAACAAAAACAGAGGTTTTAATTTATAAGGGAAAGGGTCATCGTTCACGAGAACAAGACCAATATCCTAATGCATGGGATACTCAACACAAAATAGAGGTTATGTAAAAAAATTTGAAATAAAAAGCAAATATAAAGCAAAAGTAAAGAAAATATAAAGCAAAAATACAGCAAAAAAAATGTTGTAAAAAAAATATACTAACTTAAATTCTGAGCAAAAGAGTTCAATCCATTCGACACTCTTTGAAACATTTTAATACTTTTACCATAAAATCCGCATGAATGAATATTCTTCTAAACGTTTTTTTTTTCTTCCTAAACGTTAATTTGCATTACATTTGTTTACTTCTAATCCAACCGGAAACACTCATTAGAATCAGGCGAGTCATGTACACAGCATTAGACATTGATGTTCATATACATCCTATGACCATCACTTTCTTCATTTGCCTACACTATTTTCTAACCTCGACGTGATCGTGTAGAGCTATGAAATCCAACATTAAGGGATTTGACATCAATCACAACTCGAGGTACATGAACAGGAAAGAGAACTCTTGTATTTCGTTTTTCTTGATTACAGTTGAAAGAAGACTGGAAGAATGGTTCAGAGTTAAAACCAAAGCATATTAACAATTAAAATCGTATTGTTCGATAAAAAAACGATATGATAAATCATCTGGCCATTTATAGAGAAGCATTATTAGTCAAATGCCTCAACAAATCTCGAATATCCGATACTAATTCAATATTCTTTTCACAGTGGAGGATTACTCTTGAGGTAGTCTGTCTCAAGGTAACCAAGGAAGCAAATCTGAGGAGCTTGGACACAACACAAAAACTCCAATGTCCATGGCTTTCCCACAAATTTTCTACACGACTACACGATGGATTTCAAAGCTGAAACCAAGATGTCTATAAGATTCTCCAAAATATGATATATGTAAAGGGTCTTGATGATATATTTCAGTCTTCGATGTGTGATTGTGTGCTCTGATAAATTTATCCACAAATGCAGCTTGATATCATCTCTCTAATTTCTTCTTTAAATTTGTGGAAATCACTATTAATTATGTTCGTAGTGAAAAGTATAGGTTCGTGCATTTTGTTGAGACAATTTATTTCACCTTATTGTTATGTTAACATTATTGGAGCAAAATGATAATTTCTTGATGACAATAAAATCAATCAGATATACAAACACATTTCAATTCGGTTTGGTTAGATTGAGTTTGTATGTCCAGCCATATTTGAAACATAAAACGATTAGAATAACAGAGCTAGAAACTTGAGTTGAAGGAAGAAAATCTCATTCTTTTAAGTTTGCGAAAAACTATATTGACTTTAACCATGTGACGAAAGTAATCCATATATATAGCACAGATTAATTCACTTTAGTGTTATTAACATTAGAAGAAGAAGAAGAAGAAACAAAAAATCTGGCTATTTCATTTATTTTAGACGGTGGCCAATTTTGCGTGATTCAAGGAAATTTTTCCACTTGGGCTCGCGAGACGATACATATTGAAGAAAAGTGGAGAAATCGGTTTCCATATACTTCGGTGGATTCTGTTCGTCGATGAGCTTCGGTGATGGCTTCACGACGGACGTAAATGGAAAGCTGTGTAGCGACGCCACCGATATCCTAGGCTTTGTGGAATTCACCAATACCCTATGTAACACGCTTTTGTACCTCCCGTTGCTAAATATCTACATATACAATAACGAAATTGGTTAATTTATCATTATTATTTATATCAACAATAACATGGAGAGCTGATAAAAAAATGTAATTAAATTTTTGGAAATAATTTTATGTGCTAATCACTTTAAATATCATTCTACTTTTTTTTGTCAAAGAAATATCATTCTACTAAACAAAGTAATTTGGCAAATGATCAAATCTATGAAACAAATCGATTTTCAAATATAAAGTTATTTAGAAAACAAGTCACACACCAAAAAGAAAAAGAAAATTATTGGAATATACAAATGATCAAATTCTATTAAGCAAAGTAATTTGGCAAACAGTACTAATAAATAGATTAAAAAATGTAATAAGAATAATAATAACTAATATACCTCGAGATGATCGCCGACGTTGACGACAAAAGAGCCAGGGATGGGATCAACAGTGACCCATTCGTCACGGAACAAAATCTGAAGTCCTTCGACGTCGTCTTGAAGGAGAAGCGTCAAGAAGCCGTAGTCGGAGTGCGGTGGCATCCCCAGCGTCAACTCCGGCTCCGGGCACGGCGGATAACAGTTCACCACCACCAACTGACTTCCCTCTTCCAACTCCCCCGCCGCCTCGTCGCCGTCGCCGTCGATTTCAAGGCTTTCCAAGATGGCTTTCACCATCATACCAAACATCTCTTTCGTCTCTTTCGCGTAGGTAGCCGCCAAACTCCTGTTTTCATTTTTTGTTTTTATATAAATGAGTTACAAGGCTCATGCAATATTTTTATTTACAAAATATTTAATATTGGGAATGATTTATTAGTATTACGGGTGATATGTGTAACCCGTGACTATGGTGGTGGTGTAGATAGGAAGATAAGTAAGTGGTAATATATATGGACCTTTTCTTTGTTATTTAGTAGTTTTTTAAATTCCACCCATCTTCATAGATTCACAAGCCGCCACTTACAAGATTTTAAATATAAATCAAATAACGCCATCGCCTCCCTCATATAATTAACTGGCCGTGTGTACTTTGTGACCAAAGATAAAAATTTGGGTGGATATGCACTAAAAGATTATAAAGTCTTGTCTAATTAAGGATGTAATACTTGAACTTCTCCTTTGACTAGATGTAATTAAAGTATTAAAGATATATACTGTTTTGAACTACCTTTGTTAAGTTTAATACTTATAAACACATGTGCTACCTTTGTGAAGTTTTTTTTAATGGAATTTCAAAGTTAATATATATGTTTTTAGGGAAAAAAAGGATCAGCATATGACTAATTAACTTTCTATTTATTAAATGTAAATTTCTCACCTGAAATCGGATGGGGAAGTAGGCCAGTAAGGAAGATA